AGGGAAGAAAAAATGCAACTCAAACTAAATGACACACAGAACCTTAAACCAAACCAACCTATTCTATCCTGGCCCTTATTTCTGCAGCTTGGATTTTTTTTTTTTTTTTTTTACATTGGATATAACATTTCTTAACACCCACTTACAGGCTCCAGGTTTGTTGATAAACCTGACTTATTACTCATCCATTTTACAAGGACGTGTGCATGATGACAGGCTTTTACATGTAGATGGTTTAGAAGGGTTCAATAACAGCATGTGTCACTCTTTGCATTCAAAGCTCTAAACGAAAACACACTCAAGCAAAACCACAAAATAACCCAAATGCTGTAATTGCTTAAATATATAATATATAGACCCAACAGTCGGAGAGTAACCAACAATAATGCTATGACTATTTCCTTGAAATACAGGTCTTTTTCTTGCACTACTAGCAATGACAAAAACATGATGAAACAATTGTACATGTATTTTATGGTCAGCCCTTGTTAGGAAGCTTTTATAATGACAATAGAAGGAAACGTGTTGAAATGACACTCCTCCAGACGGCTGACAGTTGATTTTGATGGACAGTCGTCTCCTCTGGCTGCCACGTCTGTGCGGATGGAGAGCACATAAAAATGTGCTGTATAACAAACCGCTACCATAATTTAAGACACTTGTGTCTGTCAGTGCATCATCCTCAGTCCTACATGGATTTAACAGGCTGCTGTAGCTTTCCACATACTAGTGAAATCCAGTTTACTGTCACTGCCATCCTTCCACGGGCAGGTAATAAATACATTGGGACTTGATTTCCAGCGTGACATAGAATATACCCGCTGACTCTGTGTATCCTGCCATGTGCCTCCGGCTAGGACATTATCATTTTCACCTGCTTGCATTACAAAATCCTGTCTCTGCATTGTGCAGGACAACTGCTGTGTTGTTTTAGTAGAGCTTTCACATCTTATGGTTAAGGTTATGCCTTTGTTTAAAACCAAACTTGCCGTCAGATGCTACAGTGACTGATGTGGAAAATGAGATTCTCTTCACTAAATGATGCAGCAGCAGAAGGCTGTTTTTGAAAAGGAAGTTGGGGTACAAAAAAAAATAAAAATAAAACTGCACAGTCTGCCTCCTGTGGCGGCAGCTGAACATTTCATTGCAGTGCATGGTAGCAATTCAACCCTCCTGCAGGACAATGAGATCCACTGCGCCCCCAACCACAAAGTGTGATTGTTGACACTGTGCTTTGAGCCCATAGCATACGGAGTGTTCATAAAAGGATAGGAAAAAGAGCCCCACCCCCTAACACACACACACACACGAAAACACTCAGTAAATGCACAAACACCCACAGTTCCTAATGAATGAGAGGTATCATCACACAACAGTCTGATTCCCTATACTCACCTTCAATTGATATTACATGCTCTCGGATCTGGTTCTGCAGAGCCAGGTCATCGATGCGCTCGATCAGGTCGTAGATGGCATAAATGTTCGGGTGGACTGACTCGAACCGATGGATCTCTGCCCTGATGGCCGCCGAGTTGGACAAAACATACTGGGAGCCCGCTGGGCCGCCGGTCTGAGCCGCCTGTCCTGACACAGTCCCCGACCCGAACTGTCCGCCCCCTGAGCCTGCAGACGATCCAGATCCGAACTGGGACGGAATGGACTGGGGGACTGGGACCGGCGCAGGGACCGTGCCTGGGGTGGGCATGGCTGGCTGAGACTGCTGCGAGATAGCGGACACTGGGACACTCGACTGGAAATTCATCTCGGGTCTTTTCGCAGCGTCTGGAAGTCTGGTTCTTTGCAGCGACGGGTGAACAAACGTGCAGACTAGAATTTACGGAGAGTCAAACAAAAGAAGTCCGCGCGGAGTGCAGCTCTGAAAAAGCGCTCAAGCATCAATAGTTGGTCGAGAAATGCAACGTAACGTGGCTCGTGTTGCTCATATTATAAAAACTTGACTGTGATTCATTTTTCGTTGCTGGCCACGAACTGTCCAGGCCCCCTTTTTCTGTGGCTAAACCTGCAGTGCCTACCACTTGGACACTCCTGTGAGGGCTGCACCGCAGTTTGCTTCTCAGCCGTTTTTCCTCGCTGCGTTGGGAAGCAGACAATGGGCTCGGCTGCAGCACAGGCGCTCTCCTCCGCTGCCTTCAATGCGTTGTTTCTGTGCTGAAACCAAATAGGTTTTGGTCCTCTTTAGTCCAAGTGGTCTCTGCCCAACGCCCTCCTCCGCACGCTGAAACGTCAGCCATCACGTAATTGTACTTGAGATGGGGGAGGGTGTGATTGGATCTGGCTGAGGGGGAGAAGAAAGTCGCAACGCGCGCCTCATTATAATAAACCTACCTGACAGTTACGCAACCAAACACATATTTATATTTACATACAGAAATAAAGACGGACATTGAGACTCGGGAGGAAATGATGCAGCTGGGGTGAGGGATTTCTTATTGTTTTTACAACAACAACAACACAGTTTGTACACATTGTCCCGCAAAGGTCGTCCCATAACAACTGTACCATAACAAATGACAAATCAGCGTGATGGATGGATGGATGGGTGGTGGATGGATGCAGCCTAGGCAGATAGAAAAAATGTAAGGCACGGCTCTGAAACAACAGAAATGGTGAATTAGTGACTTCGTTTTTGTTTAATACACAGGTTATCAAAGATGATAGTCATATGCATACAAAAACTCTGCAGGATTTCTGTATAAACAATAACAATGTATTGAAAGATAAATATTTGACAGATCAACTGACACTAACGCACTACACCCTCAACCAATGAGTGGTTCTATAGCTGATCAGGTTTCAAGAAATATTGTTTGTTTAAAATGAAACACTTTGTGGGTTTTTTGTTATTTTCTAAATACACATACAAAAATGTGTGAATTTGAGCAGCACTAACATTAACCTTCAGGCAAAAACCTATATATTGCCCTACTTTTTGGCCCTCACTCCACCTACATAGACTTGATACAAACGCTGGCTGGGTACTTGATATAAATGCACTTCTCACACCTAAGCATTTCACATTAGGGAGGCTCATCACAAGTGGTCTGATGTTATGTGGGTCACAGTATGGAGAAGAGACAGCGCCGCCTGCTGGTATGTATGTGTTTCACACTAACAGCTGCTCATAGCCGGAGACAGTGTGACTGACATCCAGTCCTGTCTCTTTGCAGCAGCTGCTGTGGTGCATGCAGATAATGTCTAATCAGTCCCACGAATAGGAAGGAAATCCAATATGTTAGTGTCTTTTTAGGTCAGTTTAACGAATGCAGAATCCATACAAAGGTAAAAGGAAAATCACTTTAATATGAATGAGCAAAATATCATTGCAGTCAGATGTAATGTTCTATGTAACAACCTTATCATAATACTATAGAAACACCAAAGTGAATAATGCAGTGAACACATTACAGTATTCTTTGTGTATAAATTCACTATTGAACACAGTCAATGGGTTTTTAAATACAAAGAAATGATGCCTTTCATCATCAAAGTCAATGCACATCTTCACACAATTGTGTTTTGACACTCACTGTTTTATTCTTTAGAAGAATCTCTCATTTAAGCACATTTTTCAGTCCACAAAACTGGATATAAGATAATGGCTGTGTTCATCTCCACATGAAGGACTCGGAGATTGCTCTTATTCTACCTTTAACACCTTTTTATACAGTGCTTAAATATTGTGCATGTAAAACCTTATTTCCTCTGGCTCAATGGGTGATGTGTGTTTTAGGAAAACACCATCATCTTTTACAGTATCCTTTTCTTTACAGAGAGAGAGAGATTTTCGGTCTGTTTGGGACTGCACATCTTCAGCCTTCTGCCTCCATCTGTTGACCAAATGTGGGAATGCCTGTCAGACAGATTTTGTTTTGCTTGGGCACCTTCTTCAAACAATTATCTAAAACTATTGTTTATGCAGTCTCGTTTTTACTTCAGATTTTTGGATTATTGTCGCTAATGTGTTTATTAAATATCACAACATTAGCAATCAAATAATGTACAGTACATACAAGGTAAAGAGGACAGAAAACTTAACTGGAAATAAACCTGGTCTGTATAGGGACCAAAAAAGTCAAAAGCAGCTATCCCAGCAGAAATCACTTTTATTTTAAGTTAAAATATTTGGAGCAAGCTGGTTCCATTGTTGGTTTGTTCATTCTGTCACATTATGGGCTGGAATCAGGAAGCATGTAGGACCCATACGAGAGAGACAAGACAATTCTCAGTTGATTGTCTCATTGAGCTTAATTGGTTTCTGTTAATTTTTTTGTTTTATTCTTATCATATGTAATTCTTCATCTTTAGTATTTTTAGAAGTGAACTTTCCTGTTAAATGGATAAACTTTTTTTTTATTTGGGTTTTGTCAAAACTGTTGCCAAACTGCCTCCTGTTTGCAGCAGATGGATCATTCACACTGCAGCCTCCTATAAACCACACCCCTCCTTATGCTGCACCAAAACACTCTACAGCCCATTTCCCACAATGCACCTGGACAAGCACAGTGACGAAAGCAAAAACTCGTGGGAAAACAACACTATTTTTAAATTTGAACCTTCAAAGTTTACGTTTTAAGACCATTTTTTAGCGATTCAGTAAAATTGGTACACACATTGTCTCCATCCAGGAGAGTCAAAATAAATAACACATAAAAGTAAAAGTGTTGCATTCGATGTAAAACAGATTTTTAAATAATTATTCATTATCAAATATAATTATACCAAAATACGTAAATTTGTATTTATATAATTTAAGTCCAATATTGTGATATTTCTGTCATTTATTGTAAGCTTAAAAGACAAATGTTATTCCGCTTTATAAACATCATGGTATTTTAAAAATTTAATTTTTTTTTTAATTTAACGTTTTAGGTCAACCTAACTTCTTATTGATGAAAATATACCTTTTTAACAGTGTACTTAAATTGTTAAGGCAGTCAATGACCTCACTCGTAAAAACGAATCGCTATTGGTTGAAGAGTTTAAGGACCTCACTCGGTAGATGACAACAACAAAACAGACAGAGCTACTGAGAGGCTCTTAGCCTGAGATAAACAACTCCTAATCTGTTCGTTTTTAACACAATCTCGACTAGAGTTTGCCAAATAGGATTTATGATCTGTAACAACATGGTCGATCTGTGTAAATGATAATGGCTGTCACATATTGTAATCATTATTAGTCGTATTTCTCGTGCTATCAATGGCTCGGGCAGAGCTCACTCTATGTTAGCAAGCTAGCTCGGTGGCTAGCGTGTTTGCTAGCAGCAGAGGTGGAGACAAGAACGGGGAGATGAGAGCTAAGTGAGGTAAGATTAACGAAATGATTAATTTACTGTGTGGGTTAAGCTTCAGCTGACATGTTAAAGTTGGCATCGTTGATTGATTTGTATAATCGTGTTAGATCTGGTAATTTTGGACGTTATAATAGCGTTGTCGCGTTAGCCTGACAGCTGTATTAGCTGTTAGCCACTTAGCAGAGTCAGCGTATTATTATTGACTAGCTGTGTAGCAGCAACAGCAGCTGCTGCTGTGACAGACTGGAGGCCTCGAGGTGAATGACAATGACCAAACGCTCTCTGTTCTTTGACAATAGTATAGTAAAGCATTTAGAACAGTAGAACTTTATAAGAACGATTCGAAGTGACAGACATAGCCACCCATTACAAGGTGCTGGTTATAACCACCATCTATAGTGTTTGTAAATACAACATAGTTGGTGAGGTCGTTAGGCCAGTAGCAGTAATCAGCGACTGTATGGCAACATTAAGTTATTATTTTTAGATCGCACAATGTGGCTTCCCTGTACTGAAAAACGTTCAACCCGATTACCAACAACTTTAAATTTAGAAAATATTATTTGAAAATACCGACATAAGCCTAACCAGAACACAATTAGTGTTTGTATAAGAGTAAAGTAGTCTCAAGACGACCCTTAATATGCTGTTCAATGTTGGTCTCTGTTAGAAATGGATGAAGTAACGTTTTTTTTTTTTTTAATTCCAGTAATTTCAGTTTTTAAAATCCACTCCTTAACTTTTGCAAATGCCCAGCTTTGCAAGACTAAAGTTCCCCCATAAATTTTAAGAGGATTTTTTTTAAGTCTGTGAAGACACCAGTATTCAATTTCAAATGCTAATGTTCAAATCAGTTACTGTAGAATCCATACACCAAAATGTATAAACAGCTTCATCTAGTTACACACATTCACATCACTAAATATAAAAAATCAGCCTATAATTGCTGCACAATAATAAATGGTGTGGTGTCAATAGAGATGTGTCAGACTCGGAGAATAAACTACAAAGACATTTTAGGAAATTATGTGCTTAGATCAAATGTGTGGTAGCATATAGAGAAAATAGATGTCTGTGTGCGGTGGTTCTGAGGGCAGTTCCATTCACAAAAAGTCAGATGTATGCCTTATGCATACATAGGTTATTGTGAATGCTTGACTCTAAAGCAGGTGTGAGTCAAATAACTGCTTCCTGCTTTGAAGAAGTAGACTGGTTTGTTTATGGAGGGGACACTGTCTCTTTTACAATTACTATGATTATTTCCACCCGACATGTTCATTTTGCATGGTCAGAGCAGTGCTGTGGAATACCATCAGAGCCTGCTGTCTTCTGAAACAAGCTTTGTAAACCAGCTCAACCGACCTCTTTACATAAACAACCCTCTTAACATGTTCAGATAATAATGTGCATAGCCTGTTAAAATCAAGACTGTTTAGAACCTGATTATTGACAGAATCAATTATTACCTTAAAGAACCCCATCCCCATTTTGTTTTTATGTAGCCAGCTACAAACCGGCAGCAGTACCAGTTAAATAATGTAAAATGTACTTACATTTGTAGTAATTGACACCCAACTTGGTTGGCTCAGGTTCTCTGAGTCATCAAGATAACTATAAAGCATTATGACATGATCAGGTACTCCCTCTGCTTCCATCTCTTCTTCCAGGGTGTGGCTTGGGAAAGACTGTGAAGAGTTTGAACAGAACACACCTCAATTCTCATGTTCCTTTTATCTGTTCATCACTTGCCCTGAAACAATTACGGAAGGGTATCTCATCTGCCTTTGATGTATGCAAAGGACGTCACGCACGGATCAAAGGTTGCAGTGTAAATACTTGGCATTCACACAGCACGTTCTGTTTCCATAAAAATTACCTCTACTCTTTGGTAGTGGTAAAACCATGTTCATTAGTGAGCTTTGCTGAAGATGCACACTCATGAGTTCTGAAGACAGTGTGGGCTTTTGGGCTGTCTTCAATATGTCTGTCCATAGACGGTTTGGTCCCACATTATGGACGACCAGGTAATTAAAAGACACTGAGAGCAACTGCAGCTGTGATCTTTGTGTATGCAAAACTTATGGCTCTTTTTGAACACAACGCATCTATGACAATGCAAGCCAGGGGTCATTTGTGAAAGTCACCGTATGAATGATAACTTATAAAGATAACAGATAACATCATCTTTTCTATTTAAGTGGAAAAGAAATCTTAATAAATGACCTTTTAACTTTGATAATTCTCTGAAAAATCACATTAATTAAATATCTTGTGTTTATTTTTGTTTTTTCCCACAGGGTGGCTTTGAATAACTAAATGAGCAGGACAGGCAAGTGCAACGAAGTCTGGGAGTTTCAACATGAAGTTGTATGTGTTCCAGGTCAACAATGGCAGCACATTGACATTTGACACTGATCTTGCCGTCCAAACGTGAGATGCTTGTATATAATGTAAAGATTGAGTTATTTGAGCTTGCCTTTTTGCTGTTGTGACCTTATTTCATCTCTCTTTTATGCAGCGTACTGGAGCTAAAACATGCCATCCAAGCCAAATACAAGATTGCAGTTCAAAACCAAGTCCTTGTTGTCAATGGAGGAGAATGTATGTCTGCAGAGAGACGAGTTTGCAGCTACAGTGCTGGCACTGTGAGTCTACTTGCACTGGACGCCAAAAGAAAATGTTAAAATACCTGATTGTTATAATAGCATGTGTTTGTTTATGTGATGTTGTCATTACTGATATATTTTTCTTGATTTGCAGGAAACAAACCCCATTTTTCTATTTAACAAAGAGATGATTTTAAGCGACCGGGATCCAACGATCCCTAAAACCACCTTCTCAATTGAGAGTGAGATTCAGGTCAAGGTGGAGGAGTCTCTATTGATGCCAGCTGTTTTTCACACCGTTGCCTCTCGAACACAACTTGCTCTGGTATTTACATATGTTTTCTTCGTTTTTAAAGATGCCTGATTTTTCATCTAGTCTGTCAAGTTGTATGCAGCATTTTCTTCTTTTGTATTATTTGAAATTTCCTCCGTGTGTTCTGAAATTCTCTTACCAGGAAATGTTTGAAGTTGCCAAGAAACTCTGCTCTTTTTGTGAACGTTTGGTGCACGATGAACACCTTCAGCACCAAGGCTGGGCTGCTATTATGGCTAACCTGGATGACTGCACTCTGTCTTATCAAAAATTGCTTATGAAGTTTGACACAGCATATGCAAGCTACCAACAAGACCTGGAAGAAATTAAAGTGAAACTGTCAAGGTATGTGATGCTTTTTCTGATATACCTATACCTGGTAATATAATTACAAAAAACCTATTGTGGTTAGTATAAAACTGCAGTGTCAATTTTAATTTAGTTTTCTGACTAGATTAAATAAAATTAGTCTTAATTAAGTCAAAATATGTTTTAAATTTAGTTTAATTTTAGTCTACAAAACATCACAGATTTATTGGACTAAATCATATGAATAATTAAAAATATATTAACAAACATAGTGGATTTTAGATGTTGACTTAACTTTACTCTATCTATCAACCAGATTCAGTTTACTAGCTAATTACGAATTCCCCCGAAGTCTTACTGGTATGACCTCTGCCCTTTGTGTGTCCCAGGCATCAATTTGTAAACTGTTCATAATATACATCTATCTAAACAATTTAAAAACAAATCTGAATTATAAAGTCAATTATAAAACTATTTTACTTTTTTACTATTTTAACTTGTAACTTTTTCATTCCCCTTATTTAGAGTAGCAACATTTTCGGGAATAGGGTTTGTACTATTAACTTTTAAAAACATACCATCCAATAAAGCACAATAAAATGACCAGGATGGGTCATGTAAAATTGATTATCACCTTTTAGCGTTTCATTGTGTTTGCAGATTAGGGACGGCCGTCTCTGTAATGGCCAGGATACCCCTGCTTGAGAGTTTGACGAGACACAGTTACAGAGAGAGCATAGAGAAGTCCAGCTCAACCCCAGAGAAGGATTCAGATGAGACAGAGGAGGAGAAGTCCACTGACTCGGTGCGCTGCACCAGTGAAACTCAGACCAAGTCGTCACCCTGTTCTGCATCGGCGGCGCACACACGTGAAACAGGCAACGAACAGGAAACGAGTGAAATGACTGACAGCGGTGGGCTCAGAGCTGCACTGTTGGATGACGAGACAGAGTTCACCTTGTCTACTTTCAACGTCACTTTGTTGGACTGGATCAATGTGCAAGACAGACCCAACGATGTGGAATCAGTTGTTAGGAAATGCTTCGACTCCATCAATCGGGTGAGTCAGTGGCACAGCAGCCGTTATGTCTAAAGGTATTTGTGGTATAGTCTTAAATGGCATTGGAGAAAGTCCTCATTAAAACGTGTCGTTGGATTTCTCTTCAGCTTGAACCTCGGATCATTCAGCCCTTTCTGGCAGATTGTAGAGACACCATTGCCAAGCTTGATAATCAAAACATGAAGGCCATCAAGGGACTGGAAGACAGGTTGTACGCTTTAGACCAAATGATCGCAAGCTGTAAGAAGTTGGTGAATGAGCAAAAAGAACTCGCTCAGGTGTGTGAAGTTCAATAAATACGATTTGATTCAAATTTGCCATTTTTAAATGAGTATTGCTGACTTTTTTTTATTTTTTATGTCATGCAGGGATTTTTGGCCAATCAGAAGCGGGCTGAAAACCTGAAGGATACGTCTGTTCTGCCCGACTTGTGTGTGAGCCACACCAACCAGCTCATGATCATGCTGAACAACCACAAGAAGCTGCTAGACATCAAAAAGAAATGCACTACTGCCAAACAAGAACTTGCAAACAACCTTCAAGTCAGACTCAAGTAATAACAAAAAATAGTTTCTCTCTTTTATTTAGTTTTTTTTTTTTATTATATTGTCTCCTACACTGAGTCTCCCTGCAGCCTGTGTAAGTTTAACGGTGGTTGTTACATTGAAATAGATGGTGCTGCTACGTGATGCTCCATGCAGACCAGGACAGCGAGAAACTCCAGGCTCTGCTCAGACTTTTGATGGAGCTGAGGGAGAGGGTGAGAATAGTGGAGGCTCTCAGTACCGTGCCCCAGATGTACTGTCTGGCAGTGGTGGAAGTCGTCAGGAGGAAAATGTTTATGCGGCACTACAGAGAGGTCAGTGCTACGCGCCATCACTGGAAGTTCTCAGTGCCTCCCGACATCGTAATAACAATAAATCTCCATCTTGTTTTGATGTTGTTAAATCATAGTCCTTCCTCTAACTCTTTTTTTTTTTTTCCGTGTCGTTTATTTACATCACTGTGACAAACAAGTCTAAAATGATAAATGTAGATGATTATAAAGATGAAGCATGAACAGAGCTGGCTGATCCTGAACAAGAGAAACAATGTGAGGTCTGTGTCTTTACGTCAGGTCATGTGCTTCGTCCTCTTTTTAAAATTAAAACGTCCTTCTCTGTGTCCTGATGAGCAGGATCACACGTAGTTTGAAACTTCTTATAAACATTGTTTCTTCAAGGAACTGCACTGTTTTTTAAAAGAACTGAGCATTGTGCAGGTTCTGGTTTAATAATAATTCACTGAACACGTATTCACACTAATTCAGATGTTCATCAACAGAACAGAAGGATTGAATTGCATTTAGATGTTAACGTTTTCTGTTAATTAAACTTACAGTGGGCTCATGCACTTGTGAAAGATGGGAAACAACTGTATGAGGCAGAGAAATACAAAAGAGAATCCTTTGGAAAACTCTTCAGTAAGTCTTCAAAAGATCGCAGTTCCCTCCTAAGTGTCACCACTCACACCTAAACTGGCAACATCGTAATTGTTCTGTCTTCTTGTTTTTGTTTTCAGGAAAGTCTTTCCTCCGAAATAGTTTATTTCGTGGCCTTGACTCGTGGCCTCCAACATCTTTTTGTGTGAGTTGGAAATACAGTGTAAATGAACACAATTAATTGTAATTTTCATTTTTGCTTTCTTTATTGTTTTATTATTGTGCTGTGTTGTTCTGTATTTCTGTTTATTTATAGACACGTAAGCCAAGAAGGTTTGACGACGAGCTTCCTGACATCTCACTTGACGACCTGCAGTACTTGAAATCTTCTTGTCCTGTGGAGGTGCAACCTTTCCTCATGTAAGTCTCCGCCCTCAGTCACTGAGCATTCTGACAGCATCATTTTCAGAAACGGCCTAACATTGCAGGATGTTAGGCTCTGTTTCTCAGTCCTCCTTTAATTTGATTGTTCATCTTTTTTTCCCAGGGTCCCAACGATGTGTGACTTTGAACCCTTACATCACCATGTAGGCACACTTCACCACCTGGTTCAAGCAGCACAAAGTGTAGATGAGATGTCCCAAACCATAACTGACCTGCTCAGTGAAAAACAGGTAAAAACAGCCTCATCTCCAACCTCTGTTTGCGTCAATGATATGTTTCGGTGCAGTTTATCGCCGTAGGGTGAAAAACAAAATCAAGTGTTATAGTTTCAGGAGTTCTTTCTTTTGTTATCTTTAAGGGCTCCAGTTGTCAGAGCGGTCAGAAATCAACAGAGTCCACCCCTCAGTCTGAGGGTGTCCCAGGAAGAACCACACCTGTGTCACCCAAAGCCCCCACTTCTCTAAGCCTACAGGGACCTGGATGCCAACCACTGCAAGTCCCAGTCCCAGCCCCTCTGGAAGACCTGTCCCCGGATAGCATTGATGCACAAACATTTGACTTTGAAACCATCGGCCATCCCAACATGGATCCAGTCCTGCAGCAGGGTTCCATTGACCTTGATTCCCTGGCAGAAAGTCCCGAGTCTGACTTCATGTCCGCTGTCAATGAGTTTGTGATTGAGGAGAACATGACTTCCCCAAACCCTATCAGTGACCCTACCAGCCCCGATATGATGGTAGAGTCTCTGTACTCCTCAGTGATCAATGCTATAGACAACAAGCGCATGCAGGACACTACAATTCTAGAAAGAGAGAATTCAAGGATAAATGCCCTCCAACAAGTCATCGACAGGTACCAGTCTGCTTCAGAGGAGACTCATTCCAGGCTGAGGGGAGTAAAGGACGACCTCCATCACTTACGTGTCACGGTCACAAAGGAACAACATGACCTCGGCTTGGTTTTGAGAAGTGTGACCACACAGGTGTGCACAACGGTAGACAACTTCTGTCAGACTCATGAACTGAAACTAAAGGAGCAGCACCAGGTTGAGCTTCTCTCTGTTCGACAGGAACTGGAGAAGCAGGTTCAAACACTAACGGAGGAAAACCAAGTCAATCAGAATATTGTCAGAGACGTCCAGCGTGCCATGCTTGAGCTGGAGGGGCGAATGGAGCGTAAAGAGAAGGAGCTGGCTCAGTTTGAGACAGAGAGAGAGCGCTGGGTCGAGACGGCGAGTAACTACAAAGTTCAGATTGAAAATCTGGAGCAGGCGATTAGAGATCGAGCTGAAGAGATTGAGATGCTCTCAGCTGCCAAAGATTCTCTGACTGGTCAGCTGGAGAACCTGCACTTTGAGATTGAACGTGGTCAGCAGAAGATTCGGCAGGAGCTGGAAATTGTTGAACAAACTCACCTAAAAGAACTGGAGGACAGGATGAAGCAGGAATACAAGGCACAACTGGAGACTTTTACCAAAAGTAATCAGGAGGCTCTGGAACATCTGGTGGCTGAAAATAGTGCAAAGTTAAACGAGGCCGCTGATCTTCATGCCTCTATTTTCAGAGAGAAAGACAACAAAATTATGGACTTGGAGGCACGAGTTGCTGAACTTGCAGAACTGCGCTGCAAGGTGGAGGTGGAGCTTGCTCTTAAAGAGTCCGAGATCGAGGAAGCGAGGGTCGTATTTGAGGAGGCTAAGATCCTGCAGGTCCAGGCCGCAAAGTCTCAGGTTGAAGCCGAGACCAAAGTCCTAAGTCAAGAATTGGCAGAGATCAAAAGGCAGCTCCAGGCTAAAAATGAGGAGTATGAAGTGGACCTGGCAGAACTGAGGACTCTGATGAGGATTGAGAAGGATCACTGCATCTCGGAGTTGGTGGACAGACACGAGGAGGAAACAACTGTACTGCACAATGAGCTCTCCGCTCTGCAACAGCAAGTCCAGGAAGCTGAGAGGAGCCACACTGAGCTGCAGCAGAAACTCAAACTAGAAGTGGACCAGCTGGTTGGTCTGAACACAGAAAAAGAAAAACAGTTGAGGAGCTTCCAGGAAGTAGAACAAGAGCTGAGGACTGTCATTGATAAACTGCAGACAGAAAACAACCTGCTCACTAAAACTCCAGAGCAGGACACGCAAGCAAATGAGGGAGAGGTGGAAAAAGAGGAGGCCGCCAAGGAACCATCACCAGATGCCTTTAAGGAGTTAGAACAACAGAAGGAGGAAATGGAAAGGAAGTTGTTAGAGAAAATTAAAGTGCTCAAGAGTGAACTTCAGGAGGTCAAGTCCCTAAAAAGGTACTGCTGGGTCTCAGTAACGCATACTTATTATAGCTGTACGAGTTTTGTCGATCATCCCATCAGATCTCAAGTTTGTTTTGTGCGTTCCAGTGATGAAGGGTCGCCACTACACGCTGAGGGATGTCCAGTCGCTGCAGTACCGCTGTCCCTGGACTCAGCACTTCAGGAGCGGCTGCAGCAGGAGAGGGCGTGCCTGCAGTCCCAGCTGGAGCTCCTGGAAAAGAAGAAGAATGAGGAGATGCAGAATCTCAAGACGTCATTAATAGCAGAGCAGCAGGTTTGTGTAGGACCTGTAACTGGAAAGTATTGAGGTACAAATGATTGATTAGAGTTGTAGATTTAAATTTAAACAACATTTACGTTTCCCCTAGACCAATTTTAACACAGTGTTGACCCGAGAAAAGCTTAAGAAGGAGCAGATCATCAATGACCTCACTGAGAAGTTGAGGAAAGTCAGCCAACAGCAGGAGAAGGACAAAGGTGAACGCTTTAGTACATTCATGCATCACTTATCTCATGAACACAGCCTTTTTGTAGTTACCATGATGCCCACAGCTATAATCCACATTGTCTAGACTGCTCCATCATTAGTTCACCCTGGTGGATCAACGTTCCTTATTTATTCCCACATGTTGCAGCTCTAATAGAGACACTGTCTGAGGACCGGGCCAGTGTCATGCAGGAAAAGAAACACCTGGAAGAGGAGCTCAATCGCCTGCGCAGCACGGCGCTTGTCTCCTCCGCCTTCTTCACAGTCAACCCTGCAGCTCATGAGGTCACAGAGGGCGGACTAGCTGCAGCCAGAGCTCTGCCTTTGGTTGGAGCAGGTTTTGCTGACTGTGACACTGACAGACTGGCCTCAGTAGCAGCCATCAGAGATGACGACCATGTAGACTCAGCAGTGGAAGCCAGCATGGTGACAGTCCAGTAAGCACTACAATGTCAACTATTTTAGCCTGGTTTCCGGTGACATGCAATTAGAAACATTTTATTATTCATTAGAACATCCATGTAACAACTTCAAACTCTTCCAGTTTTTTTTTTCTTCTTACCAGTAAACTTCTTCTTTCTGCAGTGATAACATCATGATGTCTGAGGAGAAACAGCGGATTCTCTTACTTGAGCAGGTGAGTCTAGAACTGTTGCTGTTAATTTTTGTGAAATGCTATGTTTTTAACAAAGTTTATTTTCTTGTTGCAGACTTTACACATGAAGGAAGAGGAAAACAAGCGTCTCAGTCAAAGACTGGTAGGTCCATCAGCACCGTCGCCACAAATGTCTATTTAACGTTACCACCACTAGGTGGCAGTAGCACCAAAGACTAGTATCTCGATCTGGGTGGATGAACAGCTCAGAGAATATGGAATATGCTGAAAAAATAGTGTATAGTAAATAGTTGTTCATTTTTAGGCCTGGCTAAAAAAATAGTACTGAAAGCATCTGAAAAGATTTCTTTTCCAATCAGCCGTTATTTTAGTAGAACACATTAGTTTTAGTTCCATTCATTGTGCCGCTGGGATGAAAGTACAAACACTAAGCCTATTTCTAGCAAATCTCTTGTTGGACACATGTTCAAATAAGTCCTGTTGGAAGTGATTTGTAGCCAATATTGTTTGAATGCTTGTTTGTAACATGTGTAATGTGGCTCTAATCCTCCTCTTTGTAGATGTCTCAAAGCATGTCGTCTGTGTCATCACGGCATTCAGACAAAATCGCCATCAGAGAGTGAGTGATGTGACACACACACACAAACACACATGGCTTTAACTTTTGCCCACTTTTTTTTTTTTTTCATCTCAAAATATATGTAGTAAACTTTTGGACATAATTGCAACCGTCATTACCTTGAATGTGTTTTTTCTAGCAGGGTGGTGACATCCATGAGATCTTTTTGCATTTATTTTGTGTGTGTCTGTGTGTGCGCGCTTCAGTTTCCAGGTTGGCGATTTGGTTCTAATCATCCTGGACGAACGACACGACAACTACGTGCTGTTCACGGTCGGCCCCACCCTTTACTTCCTCCATTCAGAGTCTCTGGCTGCACTGGACCTCAAACCTGGTCAGCGTCACTTCAATGATGAAAAATTAAAATGAATAAAGTACAAATGTGTTGAGGCACAAATGTGGCTTTCTGTTGTGTCTCCATAAATATTTGTTATTGTTTTGTTTTTATTTTAAATCAATGATTAAAAAAAGGTGTTTTTCGTTTTTAGCATCAGGAACTTCAAGACGACCATGGGTCCTTGGAAAAGTCATGGAGAAGGAGTATTGCCAGGCTAAAAAGGTACGCACTTTATTTCTTTTGATGTAAACTGTTGGTTTTTTCATTGCAGTATTTCACAACAATACATGTTTAAAATATATATAATGTTTAAATTGTGTCAACTTCCCTAAATGTTGTATTGTTTTCTGGGAAATCATTGATTGTTTTAAAAAAAATTGTAAATTGTTTTATCAAAAGTTTTTATCAAAGTTTGATTCACTGTCAGTAAAAAAAACACCTTTATTATTATTATGAAAAAAAAAAAAGCTTCAAATTGCATCTCATTGAGTCGATGACTTAATGATCTGATCGTCAGTTATTCTGTCTGTTGTGTTCACGTCCAGAGAGAAACTTCTGTTTTCAACAGCTCCTTGTTTTTCTTCTCTCTCGCTTCACCAGGCCCAGAACAGATTCAAGGTTCCTTTAGGTACCAAGTTCTACAGAGTGAAAGCTGTTCCATGGAACAGAAGAGTATAGTAGCCAAGTAAAAAAATAAAATGTATATTTATATATGGGTTGATTTCTGATCAGAAACATGACATTGTCATTCATCATCAAAATATTTAAGGATTAATTTTAAAAAAAATGCAAATAATCCAGAGCGTTTTCATTTTATTTTTAGTTTTTGTTTAAAAAAAATCTCACCTGCTTGTATTTGTTTTTGTTTTTATTTCTGTTTCTTTAACTCCCTGATTTCTTATTGTGGACCAAATGCTTTTAATTTTATAAGGGCATCGCCCCGTACACTACGGCTCTGCGCCGTCTGACCTGCGTGTAAAATTTGAACAAAAACATTTGGATGTTAAATATTAGTTCTTATTATCAGCATCTGTCCTTTTGTGAAAAAATACTGTTGTCACTATCCGCTTCATAATTACAGAAATATACATTTATTGTAAATGTTAACGGAGGAATGTTCACGGCATGCATATTGATATATTTTCTTTTGAGTTACCTAATCCAGATAAATGTTGTAGTTGAAAATGTACTTAACGCTATTTGTTACTCACAAATCAGTCCATACTGAGATGTACATTATGGCCGACCGGCTGCGACGGTCGTCTTTGCAATCTTCAAAATGCACTTTCAGAAAAAAAAGAAAAAAAGAAGAGAGAAAACAATGCTTTTGTTGAGTTAAGAAGGGAAGTAGCTGAGCTGACAGAACTAAGTCAATATTATCAGCCCAAACACTTCTCACTATCATAGAATATTAATATGTAGAAAGGAAAAGTTTGTGACTGTGTTTCATTATCAGGAGACATTGTACATTACCCATCAAATCACACATGTAACAATAAATGACTGTATTGCAAAAAGATAGAGTTTTGAAACAATAAAGGATTGACCCCACACCTGCTGAGCTGGCTGTCTGTCACCTGCCTTCACCACAACTACATGTGTAAGAAAAGCATTGAGGCTGACAAAGCAAAAAAATACTCCTGAAAAATTTAGATTTAACATAGTATTATTCAGTCAAAGCCTTGACTGAATAAAAGTCAAAACCCCCAGAAATCATCAATTTTAGAACTGAAATTTTGATTAAACAAAATAATAATTTTAAAAAGAGAAGCTTGTTTTGGAAATATAAATGCATTTTTCAATAACAATTTGAAAACAGAACACTTGCAACTGATTTTTACAGGGTTAAGCCTATAAATGCTTGTTCACAAATAGTAATATTACACAACAAAACAATTCTTCCTGTTAATCTAAAACAAACTTTTAAACTAAAAAATATCTATGAATGACATAAAAACATTGATACCAGTCCATAAACTGCAATAAAAATATATTCTCTTAGACCTGCATAAAAAACAATTTTTCTTCTCAAACTCCTCTTGAAATGAGTTTTGTATTTTTATTTGGCTCTGAAAGTTATAAAACAAAACCCACACGGACCCAAATTCACCTGTGTATTTCAGGTGAATCTCTCTTTATTTACGCTTTTAAAACATCTTTCCGGGGGATTCAGGACTCAGTGTGGAATAACGCCGTGCAGCGCACTCACTCGATTTAGCGCTTTTGCTTTTGTGGAAACATGAATGTTGGCACGCTGCTGCAGGAAACAGACTTCAAAAAGGCTTCAAACCAGGGCCTGAGAACGATGCGGCCCTGGTGGAGAAGGAAGCCCACCAACATCACTTTCCCAGTTCACAGCGGGGAGCATAGCAGCTCTCTGCCGAGCGCTCTCTACCATGTGGGTCTAGGGGTGTTTTAACAATGTTTAGCTCTATTTTCTCCATTTAGCATAAGCCTGTTGTCACATTTGGATGGCTCCTTCATAAATTGATGGTGTGATTCCTACAATTTCGGGGACTGGCCTGAATGACAAAATATGCAACACAACATTCGAGCACCGAGGTGGCTGGCAAGCACCAACCATGTGCACTGGACAGACTCTTAGTGTAAATGTTTACAACCCCCCACTGAGCTCAGTGCTGCTGGGAGTCACTCTCATCAGACTGAATGGGATTCACTATTGCCATGTGGAGTCTCCAGCTAGTTCCATCATTAAAACTGCCTTTGAGTTGCTGTCAAAGCTTTTGTTTAAAACAAATCACGACTTCCCTTCAGCAGCGTCATTAAAGTGGCTATTGTTAGAGCCAGCTACGCTGTCGTCTGTGGGGTTTTTGGTTGCTTTTATGATGTTCATTTAAAGGGACTAAATGAACAGTTTTTTACAAAAGCCCAAAGTTGTTTTTTTTTTCAATACTGCAAAAATAACTTTTGCCCAAGTGGAAGAACTCCAGTGTCATTCATATACATTTACGTTGATTCATTTTTTATATTAAGCTTCTTCAAAAGCATTAATTAAAGGCAAGTCATCTTTAGTCTTAATTATTTCAATTATTATGAAGTTGACACTAGAAGAAAAGAAAAAAGAACAAGTCTTTGTCAGACACAGGTTTGTTTTTATATTTTTAAAGCATCATCAGTAAATATAAGAGAGAAAGAAATTAAAGTGAAGTTAAAAGTTACTTATTTATAGTAAGTTATTTATTATAGTAAGAGACAAACAAATAATCTGCTATTTAAGAGTCAAAACTGTCCCGTATTTATTATTATTGTTATTATTATTATTATTACTATAAGTAGTAGTAGCAGCAATAATAATAATATAGTAATAACTTACTTTTATGCCACTAGTAGTAGATGTAGTAGTTGTAGTATTAATAGTACAAGAGATTATTTGTAATAATAATTATTGTATTATTATCATTAATAATTATAATAACATATTGTTAATATTATTAGTAAAAGTAGTAACTATGTTGTAGTAGTTATTTTTAATTAATTGATAATTTATATATCCTATTATTATTATTATTGTTATTATTATTATTGTTCTTAGGTGTTGTTATAAAACTACCATTAAAGTCTAATCTTCTTAAACTCAAATCACCAAATGATGAAGTTTTCCACACAGGCCAAAGGTTAATTTCCCCCAAATTCGTCCTGCTGTTTGTACCACAAACACTGTCCTGAGCTCATTTATCTGTTTAAGCCTCACACATTATACCTCTGCTATTGTATTAGGACAGGTTTAGTGATGCTGCTTTTAAAATGCCATGGTTTGAAATTATAGCTTTTCTCTGCGCGTCAACCTCTGCTGCAGGCTGAGGTTCAGATGAGTCAATGTGAAAATATCCAAACGATGTCAGGGACGACTCACAAAGACTGTCACGCCGTCTCCGATCCCAGCCTTTTGTCACTGATAGCTCCTGCACTGGAAGATAACACACAAGTTGTGTTTTATTTCCCAGCATCTCTTGCCGAGTAGATAAATAAGCATTATCTGGTGGGTAAATATATGCATGAACTTCAAATGATGGATAATGAAAAATAAATAGGAAAGCCTTAACCATAATGTTTATATTACAAATTCTGAAAAGGACGAGCGTGTTGATGGAGAGCCAACAGGCATCCAGGCTGAAACTGCAAACCTAAGTGTAAATAGACTTAATGCCATCACATTTCCACCCCATTCATGCCTAAGAAAAGGGTTAGGGAAAGGGATTAGGTTCTACATATGCTGTCAAGGACCGGAGAGACCGAGGAGAGAACTTCACCTAAACACAACGATGATCAAACAGACATGCTTTAACAGACATGCCTCATAATCTCATCCCTCATTGTCCTCTCCCTGCCTCGGCGACAGGTTCGGAGGAAAATCTTAGACAGGGGCAGATTAAATGTGTGATGAAATGTCTGAGAAATTCTGTGAGAACGCGCACTGTGAGGATTGCTGATTTCCAACCCACACCGTGAACATAATCACTGTTAGTAACACATATTTATCGGGTTCAGATTGGAAATCATCATCATCATCTGATGGCACGGTTTTATGGATAATTACCACCATAGAAGTAACGTGGCGTATGAAATGAAAGCCCCCGGGCCTGTGCGCGAACAGAGAGGGAAGTGCGTAGGTTCAGTTGTGTGCAAGAGTCGAGCCCAAAGGCAAATACTGTGTGGAGTAAGTTTAGAGACAAAGATTCAGGCATGTGGTTAACAAGATTGCTCGTGTGAGCATAGAGTGTACAGGCTACAGCAAAATTATTTTCACATTAAGTTCAATGCCATCAGTAATCCTTCCAAATATAGACAGAAGTATTACATCTTCAGTGGAAAAATAATTATTCAAATACCCTATAGTGCAAATCCCATTAATTTACTGCATGACACACTTTTTTTCTTTTTTTTTTTCTTTTCCGTTCCTGCCACAAAACAAAACGGAGAAGAATCCGGTAAACATTGAAATCTGTTGTCTTATTTTGGTAATCTGGCAGCTGGCTGACAAGTAAATAATCAATACAAATAGTTCTGAAGTGTCTGAAAATAGACGGACGATTTTAAACTGTAACTAACAGCCATGCATTCTCCAGCTGCAGTGCAGTGTTGAGGAAATGACACCAGCTTTGATGGGTTGTATAGCTTTTGAGATGAGCCTCTTTATGCCGCTTGCAGTTCCATTATGGCTTTGTTCGAAAGCTTGTTTACCTGCTGATAACATACACTGGTGGATTCAGGAGCACCGATCCAAAATCTGCTGCCAAAGTCACTCAAGTCTCATTGTACTGCGGCGGGGACAGAATGAAATGTTTATGCGGAGGGGAATGCAAATGCTAAATGTGAAATCAAACTATGGGACCAATAAGGGATCAGAACAACTTTGCCAGGTTTTATTTTTAGCCCAGTTGCAATGCTAGCTTTTTGGAGCACTCGCCAGTTTAGCCTCTGTGCATCTGTGTGCTTATTTTCAAATGGAGCAAAGAGGATATGGACATGCAATAAAAGTACAAATGACAAATACATTATTTTTCCATGAAGTATGAGTTATTAGGTGGCAAGAATTGAATACTAAGAATACTCAATTTTAAAAAGATGTCAGCATGTGTATTCACTGGGAGTGCAGTGAAGAATAAAATCTGTAATTTGGCAATTCACTTGAATCTTTATTTTTAACAGGTAAATGAAAATAAAAACACTTTTTTGTTCAAATTCACCATCTTAATGTACTGTTAAAGAAAACACTTTTTAAAAAAACAAAATCAGCCGCTACTTTCCCAGTCTGTGGCCCTCAGTTGTTTTGTTATTCTATAGAAATTTTGACTTAACTTTATCGTCTCACTTAACATTATTAAGTTAATGAGTTTTGACACTGACTTAACTTTATCGTCTCACTTAACATAAGTTAATGAGTTTTGACACTAAAAACACTTCAAATCTTTGATTTTCTTTATCCAGCACCTGTTAATTTGATTTTGAAGTGAACAACTGAACTACTTTTTTTGTATTTTTCAGACTTATGGTAACTTTTTCCTGAAGTGGCCTCTCTGAATCGTTGCTATTTTGTGGACGTTAGTTGTCGAAAAGCTGAGGTCTCAGGTCAAAAGAATAGTCCCTCGGTTTGCATATTAAAGAGGCTTCACCAGACCTCTGTTAGCCACGAATCCTCATGCAGGCAGGTCTCCAGGGGGCCAGCAGGGCCCCACAGACGGGCGACTTGGGGGCCAGGTGACCCTGTCTCTGAGGTTAGCAGGAAACACTAAAGAGGGATGGGCAGGGAGCTGAGGAGCCACTGAGTGCGAGTGTGCAAGGCTGGTGATGGCAGCTGTCAATGGTTTGGAAGGAGAAGCAGACAGATTGTGCGTTCTGTTGGTGCAGCCAGTTCGCCACCTGGCAGGCTTTTCCTTGTTAGAACTTCTTGCTGTTTCTGTTCTCATAACAGAAATGTTTTTCCTCTTATCCTCCGTGTTCAGGCGAAGTTAAGTTTGTCAAAATGTTTAAAGACTTTTAATGTGCAAATACATTTGTTTAATGTGTGCTCCGCGGATGCCACACATTTCCACAGCTCAGATTTATTTTGAAAAAAAAAAACCAAAACAAAACAAACAAAAAAACCCCCAAAAATTAAAGAGTCTTTTTTATAAACCCAAGCCTTGTTTTGGATGATTGGCTGTTTAATTAAATTGAATTTACTGCATTAAAAAATAAAAAGGCTTTGCCTGGTGAGTCTTGACTTACTGCAATAATATTCTAGCTCTGTTCTCTGAGAAAAGGAGTATGTTTTGAAGGGGTGGGTGTGTTTATAAAAACATAATCTGTAACTTTTAAATCCCATCAGAGCCGTAAACGCTGCTCCATGTTGTTCACTTGGAAAGACAGAGGAAAACGTAACCATAAAGAGCTTAAAAGTACATTTAAATATCCAATTTTTCAGACCTTAACCTTACTCAAACAGGATTTAAAAAAAAAAAGAAAACTCTTTCATTTGATATAAATATATGCAAAGAGAGTAGTGTGGTGATCTGGGTGCCAGAGGTGGCGCTTTACTCTGGATATTCTGGCTTGGGCCTGTAAGGGACATAAATTAACATGAATTAACACATGCATGCAATAAGAAAATAATTAATTCAAGTTATCAGTCACCTCTTCCATTCCAGGAATCTGATTGACAAGATAAAGTAATGTGCAAACTGCTTTTCAAAGCTAACAGCCTGGAGCACCCCTCCTATTAGTTAGTCATTCCCTCAGTATCACACCCGGAATCTGTCATTTCACAATTTTCTCCTCTAATGCATATGTGCCGCTCTCACCACTCCACTACAGCAACTGCCATCTCACAAGTTGACACAGGGAATGATACAATTCACGTCCAGTATTCAGTTCCATATACAGCGAGCATCTGAGGCAGACAGGTCAAGAATATGGCACATTCTGTTCTGGCTCGAAAACTGATTTTCTGGGATTGGGGAGAAGGTGGATCCATGATATTCTCGAAACACCTCAGATGAGTAAAAAGATTTAAAAAAAAAAAAAACACAGATTACTGGAGTACTATTTGTATGACCCTGTTTCAAATGTGTTTTTGTTGGCATATGGGAGACTACAAGTACACAACAAATCTGCAAAGACACTTTATTTAAATGATTTTCACTCACTTAAATATGTTTCACCTTCCTACTTTTGCTTCTACCCAATAATAACTATAACAAATAAGACATTAACACTATGTCTATGTTTCATACCCAAGTGTACTGTATATGGTACAACTGAGAGAAAAACTAAGATAACATTTTTTAAAATATACAAGATATGTCAAAAGTTACAACTGAAGTGAAGATGTTTGTTATTTCTTATGCCACACGTCTTTGTTTTACAACAGAAATAACTTTGAACTCTACATTACAAAAATCTGTAAAATTACTAAATGACTGCTTAACTGTTTAAGCCACAATTCACAAACCACCAATTTAAATTATAGACTGATGTTACAGTGCAGAAATAATGAGAAGAAAAAAAATACTTTCAAACTATTAGTTATTTTTACATAAATATTGTTGAAATATTTAGTTTTATAACTTTATAACTAGTTTTCCCATGTAAAAGAAAAACATCTTAATTAAATATTAATGCGGTTAAATAAATAATTCTGCAAAATATAAACGAAATAGAGCAAGAGAAGACATACTGCATCCTGATTGGACAGTGGGTCTAAGTGGACCAATCGTTTGCCAGTCAGGGGCGGGCTTTATTTGTTTTCCGATTGCACAGGAGCGTCGCAGTATGCTCGATAGAATATACTAAACATTTACTTTTACCCAGTAAGTATAAAAAACACGAGAGTATTACGTAATGTCCAGTTTGCAACAATGACTTTGACCAGGCCTCGGCGAGTATTAAATGAATTTAAACGTCATGCAGAGGTGTGTTTAACACAGTGCAGGTGCATATCATTCAAACATACACTGTGTTGTTTGTTTACGTTGCAATGAGCTACGAACAAGTGGTTTAAATAAATAACAAAAACATTTATATATATTGTCAAACACACTTGTAAAAAAGATGTGTGGGCATATTAATGTCACGTGAGCAGAAGAAATAGCGAAATTTATGCAGTTTGATATTAATTCAATTTTATTTAATGCTGAGTGCATGTCAGAATTGAGGGTAAAAGATATTTTTCTGCAAGTTAAGAAAAAATGAAAATATAGAATTAATATAATTCATTTATTTCACTGTGTATTGATGTTTGTCTGGTTAATCTTCTACTATTGAAATGTTAGAACTCTGAGAGAAGCTGTGCAAAATATAGGTCAATATACTTGCTATGTTATATTTTACTGTACAGTATTCTGGCTGTATTTGACTTTGGTCAATATGTACTTTAAGGTTCCATGGTGGGTTTTTGGATGCTAACTTTACATTGACATTGTGCTGTATATATTTAAAATTAAAATCCTTTGGTATATTTAAACTCTATATTTTCTTGATGACAATTTCAATTATTTTATTATTTATTGAAATGGAAGATTACAGTAATATAAATATACATTTAAAATACAAGACTAAAAATAGTGCACAAAAGTAGTTGTGTTTCCTGTGCGTGTGGTGTCAGCCGGTCCCAGTCCCTGTGGTCCTCACCGTGCACTGTGCAGGCCTGATGGCGCGCTGACTGCAGCCCAGGACATGGCCTTGTTTGTTCACAGTTCCCCCCTCTCTGAAAAGAGTTATGCTGTCTGTTTTGAATGGACAGCGTTTTTCTTTGTGTGCTCGATCAAAACAGAGGGCAAAGTTAGTCAGCAAGTTGCATAGCTTCTGCATTCTGAGTCTTCAAGCCTCTTTTGTATGAAGTTTAGCACAATGTTGTACTCTGTCTGACCTAAATGGCTCGGCAAAGGTAGGAGCTTCTTTTTTTTTACTGGGAAACCACAAAGTGACACCAGGTAGGATGGATGTTTGCTATCGGATATCGCCTTGTTTGTGTTGTTGTGACAAAACTGAACAAGTACAGCGATCATAGAGGGTTCAAAACTCACACGTACGATGTCAGAGTGCAGCGCTCCTGAAATATTTATATTCTTCTATCTGATCTATTTCCTAACCACGAGGCATTTGCCTGCAAATCCCTGGCACTTTTGACATTACCTGAAGGCAAATGGTATATAGATTTATACAAGTTATTTACAACAACAGCCAAGCCATTCCTCTGGAAACTAGGCTGCAGATCAAAGGATTGTTTTGATCTCTACTTAGCATATTTGTTTAACCTAGCCAGTGATTCTGAAAAGTCCATGAGCTTTCCGGTGATATGCAGAGCACCCTTTATCCGCCTTTTTCTTCTGTTAGCTGCGGATTTAAGTACTTTCTGTATTTGGGAGACAACTGGATTTGCCAGCTGTTGAAATTTAGTTGCCCACTGCTGGCAGTCTTGGCACTCAGTCATAGATAACTAGGTATGTTCCACATTTAATCCTGATCGACCTGGTAACAGTATTTGCGGACTGTTCGGCACTCAATTAAGCCATAATGTGCTGTTTTTTTTGTTTATTTCCTTTAACTGGGTTTTCGAAGTGAAAACGTTTCCTTTCACTTTGCTCCTGCCGTGTACTCTGTGGGTACTTGGTTAAGCATTGTTTTTACTGTGTCAATCAGTACCACTCTCTCCACAAAGGGCTGCGAAATGTCAGGAGAAAAAACAATGTCCAAGCGCTCTCTAAAAGAGATGCCAGGGCAATCAGGAAATTTTCTGGAATGCTTAAAAGAATGCTTATGCACACAATGCCTGATTCTCTCTTACTTTGGGTTTGGGAAAGATGAGCCCAGGTTTACCGTGAGCCAAAATAGGGGGCAGATGGCTCACAAGAGGGATGAACCTGGGAAGTCATGCTGTAAATGTGTTTTACAGAAAACAATGAAAGGAGTGGACAAAGCGATTGTGGCAAAGTCCTTTAGAAAATGGAAAAGCAGCTCTCTAAGGTCCAGAACCATGGAGAAGCCGGATGAGCCATCGCAGGAGAGTCAGGGGGAGAGGAGTCTGTCCAACTGCACCTGTGAAGCCCCTCGACTTGGCCAGGAACCACTGGGTAAGAAGTACCTTATTTTCTTATTTCAGCACCATTCACCGTACTGTGTCTCTCACCTTTTCTTATTTTCCTTATGGCAATTTTAATTATTTCAGCAGTGACTTGTTTTTGTGTATTTTTTTTTTTTTTTTTTCATCTGACTCTGTGGCCTGCCATATCCAGTGAACAAACAAACCACATTGTTGGGCAGGAGAATTCCTTTTGAGGGAAAGTGTGTCTCCAATGATACAGTGTTGCCAGAAAAAGACAAAGCAAAAAATAGCAAACACAAAAACAGTCACAGGTGCATGGGAAAAAGAGAGACGCGAGTGAATGGTCACTGCGGTCCCCAGGAGGTCTTTCAGTGTTAGCCAGTGCGGTGGGTGGACTTCTGACAAGGACGTTGGTGAGCAGCCAGGTGGAGTGTGTAACTGAGAATGTTCCTGTTTATTCTTTTCACATGCTAATGCAGCTCCTGTGTGACTTCAATGCAGCAAAACTTTTTCTTGGAGTTAGTACTTTGCCTTGTTTAATGTTTTTTTTAATGAGGTACCATAATCAGTTGTGTGTTAGAGGTTATAATACAGTGGTTCTGAAAGTGGGGGGCGACTGCCTCTTGAGGGCGCAAAGTTATTGCAGGGTCGGTGCAGCAGGTCAAATGAATTAAATTTTTTGTATATTTTTTTTTTATTTGTGCCACAGTGGGGAAAAAGTTGTCGATTAGTAATTTTATTTCACTTTTTCCTGTAAAAAAAGAGAAGAGAAATACAGTGTTTTAAATTAAGTCTTAAAGCAAAGCTGTGAATGTAAGGTAAAGTAAAAAAATATTATTTTTAAGAGTTGTTTAAGAGTTAAACTTGAATTGTTAATACATTATGCTAAAGTGATAATTAAATATTAGTTAATTGCTAGAGAGGATCTAGAAATATTATTGCTTGGCGATATGTTGTTTCTTCTAAATTAGTGGTCGAGGCAAAGTGGCTGTTTATACTGGGCAGTGTTGCTAACAGGCCATGAAAAAAAAAACATTAATTTGAATAGCTCATATACAGGATTGGCATTGGTTTCAGGTGATGATGTGTATGGTTATCAATGGCAGGACCTGAGTATATAAATCTGTGTATTATTTGAATTGAATTGCCCAGTTTGAGGTAAAGTGTTATTTTTTGTATAATCTGTATAGCAGAAGGTGTTTTTCCTTGGCTTGAACAAACATTGAAACCCATGCTGAAAGTTCTACAACAAAGCAACACATAGTTTTTATGGTCATTTGATATCCTGTGAGTACATGACTCCTAGTTTTATGTTTTGTTTTGTGAGAATTGTTGACCAGTGTCTGACATTAGCTTCTGGGTAACCCCGATGCAAAACTAAAATTAAGCAGCTGACACTGCAGTGAAAGACTACTGACTGGGTTTAGACCCAGATTTGGAGCTAATGCACCTCTGTGTGGTCAAAAGTAAGAACAGTAGTGTATTTGGATGAAGTACACGGGCCGTGCAGTTGTCTAATTTAGTACAATAGGCGATCAGAGATTGTAAGTCAATTTATAAACCGCTCATTAGCGGCTCCTGTACAAGCTCAATGTGTAATTCAGCGGCGACAAAAGAGCAACGTGGCCACAGACCGTGGCTTTATCTGTACCTTGTAGTGTACAACTGTAAATAGCTTCAAAGACTGCTGCATCTGCCATCTGCACTTCTAGGAACTCTTCTGCATAACCATTAAAACAAGCAGTCTCGGAGGACGTGATTCGTATTTCAGCCTCAACCCTGAATTACTGTGTGTTCATTATAATTATAAGAGAGGAGTGTTGCCAGGCTAGCCAGCAGAATGCCAGGTGCACACTTCCATAATCTACCATTTTAAACAAGTCAGAGCATTAACAGCAGTATCTGGGTGCTATTCAGCCCTCGGCTTCATTCTGGCTTTCAGGTCCAAACCTGCATCAGTCATCTGAGTATTTTGTCTAAAACAACAGACAGGCAGAAACAAAGTGCAGTACACAGAGTTCCTTTCTGTTAAGCCTGCTTAGGTTATGTGACTGAGCCATGCTGCTGTGTGAAATTTTATCCCGATACTGGCACTGCATCCCTGTGAGGGAGTCTTGTAAAATAGGTTTACTTAGCGCCTTTGCTGGCATTTTCTGAAGATAGCAAACGCACAAACGCTGTCCATGATCCGATTAGCCGTTGAGCGAAATGATGTAACCCTTTGTCTCTCTTGTATGGCACAGGGTTTTCTGCTTAAGTTCAGTGGTCATCGACAAGGAAATGGAGACAGTGAGGCGCAGTCACATCCTCACCATGCACGTCTTGCAAACGGCATAGATGTCAGGACCGGTTTAATCACAGTGTTTGTCACATAAATGCGACTGCCCACAGTGAATCACTGCGCACGTACAGTACAGTACATACTGTACTTGAGCACGTATGCGACTATCAAGTGTTCTGTGTTTAATTTTAAACTTTGCCTCATGTTCCTCACTGCTGTCGAGGCACAGCATTTAAATCACATGTGAAAGGTGTGAAATATTTTTTTTAAGCCCAGTATAAAGTAACGCAATGTCAAGAACGCAGGGAACATTCATTTGCATACTTCAGGATGCAGAGCTATACATTCAGAGTCATGAGACAATTATAAGAGAAACGTTGGCGACAATTTACGTCAGACATCAATTAAAATATCTTCAAACATCTCATTTATTTCCCATTTAATTACTACTATTACTTATTTTTGTCTTTTCTGGATGTGACCACAGCAAGCCCAATTCCTGTCCTACACTAAAAGGAAGAAGAAAATGACTGTTTTTTTCCCCACTGGAGGTTTAGATGCTTGTTTATCACTTTTAAATACCGTCATCTTTGCTGAAATCCCCTCTCAAAAGAACCTTTCACTTGCTGGAATAAATTCAAATTAAAATTTAAATCCCTCTTTGCATTTCTTCAGCCTTTTTTTAAAATAGCTGCCTCCTTTTAGAAAGCTGTTTATGTAGTGATCTGTTCATAATCCAGTTTGTTTCTCAACAGCGAAAAAGAAATACAGAAATCGTATTATCACTATCTTGGAGAGATGATGCGAGAAATCAGGAAGTATAAATGTCTGGATCTGTGGAAGTTTTTAAAGTTGTAGAGCTGAAGATTGAGCCACGAGCCCCTGAATAAAATAGTCTGTTACACGACAGTTTGACTTGACAAATATGAAGGAATATGAAGAACACTGTCACATGGACTACTCGCCCATTTTCAGCAAACAGTAACAATATAAACCCATGTAGCCAAATATTGCATTTATTTCATGTAAAGTTACTTTATATTAGTATTTTTTCCAACAAAGCACGGCCGGTTACGTTTATTTACATTTTATACAACTCTTTACGAATCAAATTATGAATACGATCAACTCTTTACGAATCAAATTATGAATATGATTACATGTAAAATAAAAATATTGTAAATGTACAAATGTGTGGCTCTTTATAAAAGCTTCACAGAAATATTTTAAAAAAACAAACGCCTTTTCTTATAGTTTTGTTCCTTTATGTATTACAGAAATGCTCATGACGGACACTGAAGAAAAAAAAGAATGAAAGTCATTGGTGCTAGCTTTGTGTTAGCTTCTTCTAATCTTAGTACGTAGGAAAAACAATATCTAATCAGTAATGGTAAAGAAAATAAAATAATAAAGTGCAGATGCTCACTTAGGAAGCCTTTCATAACAACCCATTTGGGATGTAAAACGTCAGAAATGCCACGGGGAAATGCAATTGGTTCGACTTAGATTGAATTTATTGTTTAAAAACTAATTATAATTGTGTCTCCTGAAAGTTAACCTAGATCTAAACAAAAGGAAATCAATAATCCGCCCCCAATAATCACTCCAAGCCCGCTGCATGTGCTGAAGAAACTTACTTCATAATCAATTTCTTTGTTTTGCTCAAAGGCCATTTGCATTTGAGTTCATGTCAGCAAGCTTTCTGTATCTGGCACAATCAGAAATTGCAAGCCATCCACCTTAATTACATTTTTTTCCCCTTCTCACTGTTTACTCAAGTGCGTGTCTCTGACAAGTCCAGATGATTTTAGTGTATTATTTATCAACCGAGCAGATTTCTTTCTACACACACACACATATATGTATATTCATATACATTTTTTCATGCTGCTCATTCAGCCCAGTGTCACCGTTGACATGCAGGTTAAATCAGATCAGACGTCTTTTAGGTTCAATGACAAAGATACAACAAATATCTGCTCCTTAGAATCTTCCAATTGAGCATCCACAGGACTTCAGAGACCAGACATAAGTGCCTCCTGTTAGTTGTGTCTAGACACACTATTATGGCCACCAAGGTCATTATCAAAGCATGCATTATACACACCTGTTACCATTGTTTAGAAGCCCATTTTGGCTCAACATCCAAGCTCCTATCTTGCCATTTAGAGGCGTGTCTGCTTTATTGTGTGTCCGTTTTTAGTAGAAAAGATGGGCAAGGACCAAACCCCCACGCCCCCACATCCTCCTCAACCCCACTCCCCTCAGTAGACGCCCAGATCTGGGCCTAACCTCTCAATGACACAACACAATAAGTACACAGCCTGTGAACTACAAAAGCCCGGCACAGACTGACAATTTGAGCATCGATCGCTTCCATGTAAGCAATCAGATACTTTTATATGAGGGCGGCAGTGAACAAGTACGGCAACAATTGTTTTTTTTGCCATGTCGGGTAATGCTTGAACATTTACAGTACTAACAATTTTACTGCTAGTCTAATTTTTTTTTTAAAAGACACAAGTACACTATTTGGAAATGTAAAGTTGGTGTTGGTCACTGAACAGTTTATTTCCCTTTGTAGAACTTGGAAAATATTTTGTAGTAGTTGATGCTTCAAATACACACTAAGAAAATTTGAGCAGAGACATTTTTGGAGATTACAAGATGATCAGGTAACATTTTTACTTGGTAGATGGATGGATGGATGGATGGATTAATAGATGGATGGATAGTTAAATGGATGA